TTTGCTATTTATGAAAGCTAACACGTATTTAGCATTGTGCACTTGTAATTTTCCCATTTTTGATTTTTTCAGTTTTAGAGTTTTTATTCCTGGTATGATTAGGAAACACTCACGCAAAAGGCTTGGGTATCGGATATAACGTCACACTTTTCGTCCAGGAGACTTCTCAGACCAAAAACTGTGGAATTGATATTCGAACACTTTCTCCGTGGTGTTTCACGTCAATAATTTAAATCGTATTCAGTGAGAGGGTGAAAACATAATCCTAATTGTATATTCAAAATCAAATGTATATTTAATTATAATAATATACTCTATCGAACATTGTATATTGGCAAATGCAAATTATTGTCAGAAATTATTCAAATATTACGATTGGGATATGTGATTAAATATGCCACGAGATGCAGTAGTCAAAACCATGTTCAGATTGTTGTAAATACTTGGATATAATATTCCTTAAGATGTATATCCAGTAAGATCATACTATTAGGGATCATTTCTATAGTATGTATCACGATTCCATCACTGAAAAGTGACGAGAAACGCAAACCATAATGATGAGTTACAGTGTTCTCTTCTGAGCGTGAAAACGACCTATATTGTTGTTTCTATTGCAACTGATGTTGGTCATTGATGAACGTTCCATTCCAAGTAATTGTGCATGAAGGAAGTAAACACATTCAGAGTGCTTTCCCTTTTTTTCTGTTAAATCAAAGTAAACCACCATCATGTAATGTCATACTATTCTATTGTGTGTGATTAATCTGGAGGGGCACTTATAACCCTTTTTCGGCTGGAGTTTTAGGGTTTGGTTGTTTTGTAATTTTTCATGTATAATTCAATTCCTCTCGACACTGAATTGATTCTTCTGATACATGATTATTAATATTCGCGATAATAATTCATGAGATGTATCTTAAAGCGTGTGATACATCGTTTGCTATTTATGAAAGCTAACACGTATTTAGCATTGTGCCCTGGTAATTTAACCATTTTTGAATTTTTCAATTTTAGAGATTTTATTCCTGGTATGATTAGGAAACCCTCACTCAAAGGTTTGGGTATCGGATATAACGTCACACTTTTTGTAGGAAACTTTTCAGACCAAAAACTGTGGCATTATAATCGAACACTTTCTCGTGGTGTTGCACGTCAATAAATCGTATTCAGTGACAGGGTGTAAAAAAATCCTGAATGTATATCATAAATCAAACGTACATCTAATTATATACTCACGTATATTGGTACAGAACCCACACGGTTATCATTTTTATCATATCGCATTGGGGACAAACACTTTTGGAACAGAAATTTCCTTTGCTAAACCATACTTTGCGATTGGCTGTTCTAAATTCCGAATTCAAAACTTGAGGTACAGGAAATACATTTTTGATTGTAGGTATGTTGCCCGTTTCCCAGTCCATGCTGTAATTGTAGCAGGGAAATTGGGGAATCAATTGTACACAAAGATTGTACACAAGAGTCACTCAAACAGAACTCTCGGGTAAAATTACGAACTTACAATTAAACAATTAAAATTAAGAATCCGTCTGGGACGCCACAGTAACTCATGAAAATTGATAATGATCCATTATGGGTTTTTCATCCACGATGATTTGTGCAATCACTATGACGGGACAACGGGCGAGTTAGAAGCTACGAGTAAACACACGTACAACGAAATAAGTTCCAACAAAAACTGAAAAGCGAGTGGCAGCCGGAGCCAAGATTTATTGAAAGTCACCGCACATATCACTCATCGTGAAAAAACTTAATGTACAGCTATGTAATCTATTGTTAAGAAACTTGAAATATAGGAAATATGTGTTCTCGTTTGTTCATTTAAACAATTATGAATTCCAATGAATATTAGATGAGGAGATGGGTCAATGGCAATATAATGTGTGATCACATTGTCACATCTCGACGTACTATTCTCCAAAATGTCGCCGTGGTACTTACATTATTGTTATAATTAAAACAATAAATTAAATTTGTTGGCTTATTGTTGAAATGAATTTACCTGTGATTAGAGGTTTATATTATTGTGATGATGTGAAGCTGTGACGTCATAAATACACTAAATCTGGTATTGGTGATTTAGAATTAGCCATACTGGGGAGATTGCTAACTAAAATTAGTTCATGAGGTCCTAGTATAATCTC